AACGATTAATTATGGGGTTTAAAATAACTCCAGTGCCTCTGTTTAGGGCCCAATGTCTCCGATTAGCCCATATGTATAGAATTTTTACATTCACTAAGTAGTAGAGTAAATTAACTGATCCATCACTATATCATTTTTGATATCTAGTTCAGGATATAAATAATGATAAATTTAAATACGTAGGTTATCTTGAATTGGCATTTTCAAATTAAACTTGTAAACTATTATGTAACTACAACAAAGCCAAGAAAGTATTAAAAAAAATCAGATTTTATTATGAATATCAACTATAAATTGACTTCTAAGCTTTACATTTGCCTAAATTTTAAATTTGTCAAAAAATTCGTTCTTTATGTAACTATTCCTGGTAAGTTATGTGCTATTCCTCCAATCTTAAACTTGACAAAACATTTCGCCCTTTATATAACCATTTCTGGTAACTTCTCATATGTGATATGTAAATAATTTGGCATTTGATTTAAAATTTGTTTCGCTCCAAACAAATAAAAAAATATAACAGGTTTACAGTTTTCTTTAACTAATTTCTAATTGGTTATGATGATTAGTTCTCGATAGATTTATTTTTATATCTCTATCTAAAGTATAGATAAGTACGTACTGTGCAAAAAATCAAATTTTCAATTTGCATCTATAGAATAAATGTCAGCTAACTCGTACATACTAGGAACCGGAAATCGGGAGCATGAGATATGTAATAATATGTTTTTGTCGATCGGTAAAATGTTATTGGTTCATAATCATGTAGGCGGACGGACAGACAAGGTTACAGAGAAGAAGAGTTCTCCGCTTCGCTCCGGACTAACAATATTGCATATTGTCTTAGTGTATTATTTTTATGCTGTGAATTCTAGATCTCTCACGTTACTGATGCTGAGAATTTCCTTTTAAAATGGTAGTAATTTGTGAGGTAGGTTAGTCATGGCAAAAAAATGTCGAGATCGCGTAATATATGATTGCTTCCAAACATAATCGGAGTGATCGCAACGATGTAACCTGATAATTTTATTAATAATACAGTAATATATTAATGTAACATATAATCTATCAAGCTACGTCTAAGAAGTCGGAAGTGATCGTTGATTGCGTAATCGCAACATTTTTTTTTGACACTTTAATTAGTGAGATGTTTATATATTAATTAATTATACCAGATTTGTTATAACAATAACAAGATAACAGTACGTATGTACTTACGTAGTACATAACTAAAAAAGGTATTATAAATGAAAGTATATAATAGTTTATATAATAGTTAAAGCAAAACACAAAACTAAGAATTATTCCTATATAAGATGTTAAACATTTTCTAGTGATGGTAATAAAGTATATACTCATTCTATATATTGTTGGAAATTGTGTATGCGCAAACATTAGAATAATTATTTTTAATAATTCAAATACTATGCAAAACAACGAAGGTATATCGATTTAATATTTTCTATCGTCATATGTTTCTTCATTACACCTTTGCTGTTCAATTTCTACATAACATGAAGTATATATCAAGAAGAAATCAAATATAAATTAAACTAGACATTGAGTAAATAAATATCTTCTTATAGTATATATCATTATGTACGAATTTGGGTGTCAAAAGGTGTGAATTCGTATTAATGATTATGAAACATTAGATTAAAAAAATTTTGTGCCTTTACAAATTCTTAAAATCTATTTATATCTATTTAATAATATTTACCCACGTCCTAGTCCTAACTCTAACAAAATGCACTGTAATAAATTTTACCACAATACATCTTTTCAAATTCATCTTAACAATACAAAACAATGTTACGAATAATACTGTAATATGATGTTGAAATTTGGGGATTTCAATTTAAATTCATTAGTTTATCAATCTCTTTATATTTCTAAAAATAATTAAGAAATCTTCAAATTACCTAAATTTCAGCACCATGCTATAACAAATAATATGTTGTGCGCCAAAACAATATCAGATTGTAGGAGGAATTGTCCTAGTACTATATAATTTTTACAATCCAGCACGGGTTTAATAGTGCTATCTTTGTTGTTTTTTCTTTTTTCTGTTTTGTTTTTCTTTTATATGTTTTTTGGTAAAATAATCCGATTATCTTCTCTAGTCTGACTAGTCCAAGAAAGCTTTGAAGAACTTAGAAGTCGAAATGAATACATTAAATTATAACAGCGATGATCAATCAAAAGCTGAAAATCATATGTGCGGACAATTCCCCTACATCCTGTGTCTTTTTTGTATTCGAGGAAGAATTCTATTACTTGTACATAGATATTTAATTTGGCAGCACTCATAAGAAATCGTCTTCAAGTAGCTCTTTATTCATGTACAATAATGCAAGAATATTAACAAAATTATTGTTTTTATTTGTAGAAAAAGAAATCAGAAATAATATCGATAATGATTACTTTTTAGCCATGCGATGGCAACAAGTTTATGATAGAGAAGGAACAAACAATGAAGGTAAACCTCATTGAAAATTGTAATTCGACAATTTAAACCTTTTTATATTCAATTTTGTGATTTGATTTTTTAAATATAGCCACTAGTATAAATAGTATTTCGACAGAATCACCACCACCTTATATTCCTCAAACATCTACGCATAATAACCATGAATTTCCACAACATTTTACGGCTAGTCATAATAATATAAATTATTACTCAGCATATCCACACATGCCACAATCATCACAATCACAATCATTTCAACAACCGAACTTTGTAACTATGCAGCGTCAACCACAACAGAATTTTTCTAATCAACTTAGCATTCAGGAAATGTTTGTTCAACTCATGGAAGCAATTAACAATCAGAATAATCATAATCAGATTATTAACAATACGAATAATAATAATTACCATTCTGACTATGACACAAAAATTTATAATAGATATACCAATAATAATAATTATCAGCCTGATTCAATCACACGAAGTAAGGTTAATTTGCGTAATCGAGAGCCGGGAGTCTACAAAATCCTTTTATTAGGTGGAACTGGAACTGGGAAATCTACCATTATCAATATGGTGACAAATTACTTTTTAGGTGGTACTCTTGATCAACCAAAAGTTGTCATCCCGACAAAGTACTATAAAGTAACTGAAAGTTGTATGTATTCATAACGTATTGATCATACAATATGGTGAAAATTAATTTCATAGAAATTATTGCGCTTTTCAAATTACTGTGATCAGCAAGTTCCACGTATCACACCGGGAATCAGAAATCTAAAATAAATGCAAATCTGTAATTGGCTAAAAATTATTTCCAACCAATCACAGAATTGCATTTATTTTAGATTTCTGATTCCCGTGAAATTTGCTGATCACAGTAATTTGAAAAGCGCAATAATATACTAATGTGCTATTATTTAACACATGAGTAGAAATTTCCTGTTACAAATCGCATAATATCAAAAAAAAAAGTCGTATGAACCCATTATAAAGTATTTAGTAAAGTAGTCCTGTATAGCAGTACAAATTCGGACGGGCATACAAAAATTATTTCAAATTTTGATCGTACGTACGGTTAATATAGGCTAGGTTCAATCTTTATAAATAACCCTTTTTGATAGTTAGGGTTAGGGTGAGCGCTAGTATTGTCCTTTTTTCATGTTAGGATTTATAGGAAAAGTAATTTGGGTTTTACAATTTTTTTCTTTTACAAACCGTACGTACTATCAAATTTCTACACGTCCGTCCTAATTTATATTTCCGTACCGTACTACTTTACTATATACCCCATATTATATGAACAGTAATATTAATTTAAGCGTCTGTTTTGAAAATAATAGTTAATATTTATTTTTGTTTATTTATAATATAGCATATATGAATGAACATACAGAAGCAGATATTGGTGATATAACCAAGAGTCAAACAACAAAATGTAGCAGCTACAGATATAATCATCCCGATTATCCTTCTCATACATTCATCTTCATTGACACTCCTGGATTGAGTGATACTAATGGAGTAAAACAAGATGATAAAAATATAAAAGAAATTATAGATACTGCAATTTCAGCCGGTTCATTATCAGCCATCGTAGTTATTGCAAATGGAACAGAAGCTAGAGTCACTCCATCGATCAGAAATACTTTGGTTCGATTAGCGAATAACCTTCCTGATAATTTGATGGGTAATTTATTACTTATTTTAACAAAATGCGCAAAATATAGTGCTTGTTTTTCAAAAGAAATTTTTACAAGAGAAGTCGCAAAGCCAAAGGTTAGAATTTTATTCATAACATTCCTTCTTATCAGTTCTAAACAATTAATTAATAATTTTACTTTTCATTAATAGGAAATTTTTTATATGGACAATCAATTCTTCTGTACTAAACCAGAACTCTGGAAAGGTGATAACGAAGCACGTTCTGAAATTACACAACATTGGAATAAATCTATTACAACAATAAATAAATTATTAGAAACTGTTACTGAGTTAGCTGTTGTTTCGACCAAGGCATTTGAACTTATGAGAGACCTTAGAAATAGAATCAAATCTGAAATAGCAAAAGTAACTCAAGACATTGCAAATATTCAGCAAGTTCAAGATCGACTTGAAGCTGCTCAGAAAGCATTACAAAAAGCTGGTGACCAAAAAAAAGCCTTTTCTAACTATACAACGTCTGAAACGATTACACTTAAGAAAATTGTTGAATCCAATAAACATAGTACTGTTTGCACCCTTCATCTTAAAGATGATGTAATTTGTCATGAAAATTGTTCGCTTTCTAAAGAAACTAGACAAGGGACTAATCACTTTGTTAGTTGCTATTGTATGGGAGGAGGCAATAAATGCAGACAATGTGGATGTGGCGCTGGAAGGTGATTTTTCATCTCATTATTATTATTATTTTATTATTATTATTATTATAAATTTTTAATCTTAATGGTTTTATTTAGCCATTATCATGCTATGGTCAAATTGACTAATGAAACTCAAACTCTCAATAAAGTTCTTGATGACATGAAAACACAATACGATCAAGCTAATCAACA